TTTTCTGAAGTAGATCGCCAGACCTTTCTTCTGAGGTGCCTCTGGGTGGACTCGAACTCCAACCTTTCAGTCAGCAGCCATTTGCCGCACCCAGGAGTCTGCCAGTACAACAGGGCACAAGAACACCAGCTCTGGTGTTGGACAAACCCTGGGGTCAAATCCCAGCTTGGCACTCCCATTTTGCAGATGAGGAAATGGAGGCTCAGAGAGGTTAAGCAATTTGCCTAAGATCACACAGCAAACAAATGGCAGCATCAGTATTTGAACTCGGCACCATCTGACTCCTGACTAGTGTTTCCCACCACGTCACCCCAGTCACTGATGGTGACGATATTGTGACCATGCTCGTAAACTGTGAAGTGCTGTGAGGATGGGCAGGGTGGTGAAGACACCCACCATTCACTGCTCACCCAGCAGCTGTCTCCCTGGGCTGACCATGTGTCAGACACAAGTGTCAGGAGGGCTGGCATCTGTCCCCTACGGGACAGGGACCCACCCTGCTGTGTCGAGTTCCCGGCTCCCCATCCACCTGGCTAACCAGAACAGCCACCACAGTTCCATTATTTTAGGGGCTGGAAAATTACTATTCATGCCAGCAAACTTAAAAATGAAATAATAGGTCTGTCCTTTTAACAAGCAAATTGCAGTGCCGGAATATTCATGAGCTGTGACTTCATGGGAATGGCAGGGAGATCATCACGTGGTGAAATCAGCAGTGGGGGATTTAGAGAAATGCACTCCTCAGCCGGAAGAAGCAGGAGATTAATACTTTCCTGTTTGCGGCCTCCAAATGGGCGCATTTTAATGCAATAATTAATTAAGCTTGTGTTCACTTGGATTTCACCAGCTCCTGAGGCCCCGGCTCCTCAAAGGCAGGGACCAGGCATGGACCCCATCTCCCTCCCTCCCCCTAGCACCAGCCCCCAGCTCTGTCCGCTCCCAGTGAGCCTGGACAACGTGGCCGGGCCTCCTGGAAAGCTGGTCCGTACGGACAGCGGGGTGAGCTCTGGGTGCAGGAAGGGCTGGCTGAGGCCGGGCAGGGGACACAGGGAACCTGCACCCAGCCCCTCGGGGTGGTGACTGTTGGGCCGGGGTGCCGCGGAGGCCTGGGAATGCAGGGATGGGGCTGCGCCTGGAGAACCAGAGCCCCACCAAAGAACCAGCGGCCAGGGGCCCATGCTGGGTTGGTCCTCCTGTCCCTCGGCGACCCCCGAAAGAAGTTGGACTGCAGCTGTGTTTTTCAAACCGGGTTTCCCAGAGCACCCACGGGGCCCTGGGGCTGTTTCGTTCTCCAGGGTTGCCTCAGTTTCCCCCTCCACTTTCTCCTCTTTGCTGCCTAAAGAACTCTTGGTTCCAAGGCCCTCCTTAGGGGTGCCGCCTGGCGCACTGTGCTCTTCACTGTGGCTCCCGGCACAGACCCGTGTTTGGGGGGGACAAGCCGATGCCCGGTGGCGTCTCTCACACCACCTCCTTCCCCAGGACCACAGCTCCCACGCGCCCTCTAGTGGCCGCCTCAGGCAGCGCCACCGGGCGTTGCTGTTGGGGTAGCTTGGGCTTGGCTGGGGTCATCCTGGGCCCAGAGGGAGCACGCTGGGACCCTGCAGCCCCTGTGCCAGGAGATGCTCCCCAGCCTTCCTGGGCCCTGCAATGCCTGCCAGACACCATGGGAGTGGGAGCCCCAGTCTCATCTGCCAGGGAAGCTGAGTCAGAGTGGAGTCGGCGGAGGTCCAGGGACAGGTTGGCCTCTCCCTGGCGGCCCAACCAGGCAGCTTAGGCCTTCCAGGCGCACTTGGTGGCCCATGGCCCGTGGGGACACCGAGCCCCGGCTGAAGCAGGTGAAGACGCCCCAGGAGCTGCCAGGCAGGAGGAAGGAAGTCACACTCAGCTTTTCTTCTGTAACAACAGTGACCACGCCCCTCCTGAGGCTCAGGATGAAGTCCAGATGCTTCCGACCCGACGGCCTGGACGCACCTGTCTTCTCCAGCGCCCCCCTTGCCCCTTGCCCACCTCTGAGTTCCGGCCGTGCTGCGTTATTTGGTGTTTCCTTCACGCTGGTCCTTCCCCCTAGGGTCTGCTCCTCCTCCTCGGCCCTCGCGGGTGATGTTGTCCAGCAGCTTCCCCGACATTCCAGCCTGCTTGCCCGGGTCTCCCCGCACCGTCCTGTTGGGGAATCTGCACACAGCAGTCAGCCTGCACTCCCTGCGTTCAAACGCCTGTCCGCAGAGCTGCCACCCTGGTGCCTGGTCTTCACCACTGCTCGACTGTCGGTGAGGAGCAGAGGGTCTGGCTCGTGGGAGGCTGACTGAACAAAGGGAATTTGGACATGATTGGACTCATCACAGAGGGGAAAGCGAGGAAGCGTGCAGAATGGTGTAGAGGGACTAGAAAAGCGAGGCTGGAGGTGCTGGGACCACCTGTACCTGGAGACTGCCAACTCCCAGGACAGGGACTGCATCTTTGTTAGAAATTTATTTTATTTATTTATTTTTCTCTTACAAAAATTTATACACATATTGTTTTGTGACATTAGTTGCAATCCCCACAATGTGACAGCACACTCCCCCTTTCCACCCCGGGTTCCCTGTGTCCATTCGTCCTGTTCCTGTCCCTTCCTGCCTTCTCATCCTACCTCTGGACAGGAGCCACCCATTTGGTCTCGTGTATCTGCTTGAACTAAGAAGCACACTCCTCACGTGCGATATTTTTTGTTTTATAGTCTCGTCAAATCTTTGTCTGAAGAGTGGGCTTCGGGAATGGTTTCAGTTCTGGGTTAAAAGAGCATCCGGGGGCCATAGTTTCAGGGGTTCCTCCAGCCTCTGTCAGACCATGAAGTCTGGTCTTTTTACGTGAGTTTGAGTTCTGCTCCACGCTTTTCTCCTGATCCCTCCGGGACTCTCTGTTGTGTTCCCTATCAGGGCAGTCAATGGTGGTAGCTGGGCACCATCTAGTTCTGGTCTCAGTATTTTATTTGCTTTTTTGTTGTTGAGAACATGCACAGCAGAGCATACAATTTCTATATGTACAATTTAGTGACATTGATTACATTCTTCAAGTTGTGCAACCGTTTTTTAAACTTTTTTCCCATGCAAAAATTTATACATACACTGTTATGTAACTCTAATTGCTCTCCCCATACTGTGACAGCACACTTCTCCTTTCCACCCCTGCTTCCCCATGTCCATTCAACCAGCTCCTAACCCTCTCTGCCTTCCCATCTCACCTCTGGACAGAAGCTGCTCACTTAGTCTCGTATCTACTTGAGCTTAGAGGTACAGTCCTCACGAGTATCACTTTATGTACCACAGTCCAGTCCAATCCCTGTCTGAAGAGTTGACCTTGGAAATTGTTTTAGTTCTGGACTGATAGAGAATCCAGGGGCCATGTTTTCCAGGGTTCCTCCAGTCTCAGTTAGTCCATTAAGTCTGGTCTTCTTACTAGAATTTGAGTTCTGCACCCCACCTTTCTCCTGCTCCATCCGGGACTCTCTGTTGTGTTCCCTGTCAGAGCGGTCATTGGTGGTAGCCGGGCACCATCTAGTTCTGGTCTCAGGCTGATGGAGTCTGGTTTATGTGGCCCTTTCTGTCTCTTGGGCTACTACTTTCCTTGTGTCTTTGGTGTTCTTCATTCTGCTTTACTCCAGGTGGTTGAGACCAATTGATGCATCTTAGATGGCCGCTTGCAAGCTTTTAAGACCCCAGATGCCGCTCACCAAAGTAGGATGCAGAACATTTTCCTAATAAGCTTTGTTATAAGTTGTGCAACCGTTTTCACCCTCCTTTTCCAAATTGTTCCTCCCCCATTAACATAAATAAATTCACTGCCCCTAAGCTTTCTGTCTTATCTTTCGAGTTTCTGTTGTCTGTTTGATCCCATATAAATAGATTTTAAAAGAGCACAGTGCTCAAGGCAGACATTCTTTACAAGTTAAATGAAACTATTGTTTGGTCTAAAGAAGACTTCGGGGGATATTTTTGGTTTAAGGTTTAAAGATTACCTCAGGGCAAGTTTTGGGAGCTCATCCAAACTCCATGGCCGGGACTGTGACTTATTTATCTTTGCCCAGTAAAGGTATTTAAATGCACGAAATGAGTGAAGGAGTCCTGACCAGCGGATTGGCCCAGGCCTGGCCCAAACGGCAGCACTTATTACTTGCCACCCCACAGAACATAGTCAGTGGGTGCCACCTGCACCTCACGGACAGCTTCCTCCCCTGATACGTGCCCCACAAACCCCAGCTAGTCTAGACCAGTGGTTCTCCAACCCGAGCAAGTATCAGAAGTACGCGTTCTAGGTAATGCCGATGCGGCTGGCCTGGGGACCCCATTATGAGAACCACTGATTAGAGCACTGCAGGCCAAAAGAAATATAATACAAATCTATAATTCAAAAATTTCTAGTAGCCACATTTGAAAAAAGTAAAAAGAAACAACTGAAATTAGTTTCAACAGTATTTTTATTCAACCCAACACATCCAAAATATATTTCGACACGTTATAAGCACATGATTGTGATACCTTACATTCATTTTTTTCATACTCTTTGAAATCCGTTGTGTATTTTACACTTAGAGCCCATTTTAGTTCGGACTAGCAAGCGGTCATCAGCCAGCCGGGCGAGCGATCCCGCGTAGGACAGCGCACGCGGGTGGGAAGGATTGGAGCGGCCAGAGAACTACAACTCCCGGCATGCCCCGGGGGGCGCTCAACGCACTTCCGGCGCGGCGGAGGCGGTGGGAGCTAGGCGGCCGCAGAGAACTATATCTCCCGGCATGCCCCGGGCGCTGCCTGCCATGCACTTCCGGTGCGGCGGCGACAGCGCGCCCCCGGCGGCAGCAGCGGCGGGAGCGAGGCGACAGCTTAGGCCGCGGCGATTGACGGGCGGCCGGGCCGACGGGAGCCGGGGCGGGGCGGCGGCGGCGGCCAGCGAGGGAGAGCGCGGGCGGTCTGGCCCCGCCCCCGCCCCGCCCGCCCCGGTGACCTTCACGGCCCAGGCGGCAGGCGTAGGCCCCTGAGGCGCCGGCGCGATGTTCGTGCAGGAGGAGAAGATCTTCGCGGGCAAGGTGCTGCGGCTGCACATCTGCGCGGCCGACGGCGCCGAGTGGCTGGAGGAGGCGACCGAGGACACCTCGGTGGAGAAGCTCAAGGAGCGCTGCCTCAAGCACGTAAGGCCGGGCCGCCGCCCCGCCCCCCGCGACCCCCGGCCTTGCCCCCACGGCCGCCGCCCGGCCCCGCGCCGCGTCTCCCAGGCCCCACTCCGGCCGGAGGGCTGCGGCGCCTCCCGCCCCTTTTCTCATCACCCCCCACCCCAGGAACGCACACTTTCTAGACCCTCGTTCCTGAGCTTGAGCGGCCGCTTGTGAAGCGCTTCCCAGGGCCGGGGTCCAGGCTGAGTGCTTTACGCCCACCTTCCCAGGAGGTAGAGGCAGATCGGGAAACTGAGGCTCGGAGAGGGGAAGTTACAGTCGGGAGTAGGGCCTCATGGGCTTGCAGCGTTTGCGCTTATTTGCTGTCGAGGGTTTTTGTTTTTCGCAGTAGCTACCCTACGAGCCGGGGACAACGCCGAGGAGAGAGGGAAATCCTAGTAGAGGGCTCCCCTCCCTTCCCCGCAGAGCCTCCTGCTTGGAGCGTTTTCTTTTGGGGGCTGGTGTGTGGGCCGGTGCTGGGCTCTGGCCGCTTGTGCGTCTGAGCTGGGTCACTTAAAATAGTGCCGCTGCCCGACGCGTCCATGCGCACTTGAGCTTTCCTGGTCGTTCAGATCGATGAAGTCGGTAAGTCTAGGAAAGGGGGCCCGTGCCCAGTGTCCCGTCTCTGACAGAGCCACTTTTTAAAGTTTACTCACATTGAAATACTCATTGTATAGTTAGTTCGTGAAGTGGCTAATTTTTGGAACTAGTTCTTGAGGGCTTCTTCACTGCTGTAAGGCCGGCTCTACGCTTGGCGCTGGGGAGGAAGGATGGAGTGGTTTCCTCGTCGGGATTTAGGTTAAGGAGCCTGTCGCATTTTAATGAGGACTCCATAGGATAAAGTGCGTATCTGTATGTGTGACAAGTTGCTCTGGTGAAAATAAAGCAAAGTTTTGTCTCAAAGTGTAACCTTTTATTCTGTATTACAGCAACTACCCACAAAAAGTGCTTTATAATTTTTTATTGTGACGAAAATATATATAAGACAACCTTTGCCAATTCAGCATTTTTTACTATGCAGTTCAGTGATATTGATTACATTAATCATGTGCAGCCACCACCCATATCCCTTGCCGAGTTCTCCATCACCATTAACATCTACTCAGTGCTGCCACAAAGCGTTCTTTGGAGTCACTTTCATTAATAGGTTCTGTCACTGTCAGGCAGGTCAGGAAGCATTGTGCTTTCATGATCGAGCCCCCTTCTGGACCACGCCGGGTACGAGCTGACTTTTTCACACCAAGGCCAAGGGGGCTCCAGGTTCACATGCTCAAGGAGCAGGTATGTTTTAGTTGGTTGCTTGTTTTTTTTCCCCCCCTAGCCCAGTCAGTGTGGTTTAGGCTTCTAGAAAACCACCAGGACATTGCTAAGCCAGAAGGCAGGGGGTCCCCGGGCACTCAGACCTGTCCGAACTGTACTGACCCTGGATGGGCGCTTAAAATCCATCTTCTGAGTAAGGCAGGGGAGAAGTCAGTAGGAAAATTGGTATGGCATTTACTCTAACTCACTAATAGCCCAGATTTACATAACCATCATAATATTGTTTTATGAAGGGGAACAGGAAATGAGAAATAGCTGGCTGATCCACAGATGCTTGCTCATGAGTTTCAGGAGCACTTGGGGTTAATTAATTAGGCAGCCAGCGTGATAGGATGCTGATTATTATGATTCAGGTATTTATTATTTCAGTCAGTTTTGAGGTATGTCATTTGGGATTTTTTCTGAAATTACTTTAAATCAAGATTTTATTCCACTCTGCAGTCTCTCCACGTGTGCAGGATCTGGCCAGCAGGGGAGTTCCACATCAAAGGAGCTGAGATAAATTACTGAGCGGAGAGCTGAGCCACCAGAAAGTATTCCCACCTCCATGCCCATCCTGTTCTGCAGGCAGAGCTGCTCCTCCCGGGCCGCAGTCAGACGCACTAGTTAGAAAGGGAGAATTCCTATGTCCTGTGCATGAATGTCACCCAAATGTCATACTGCTGCTGGCAGTGAAGCCTCTCTTCTGTGTCTGTCTCTGCCGAATTCGGCCTTCTCAGGTGCCCGGGCACATGCTTGAGCTGGCTTTGTTTTCCTCTTCCTCTTTCCCCTCCGCCTTGAGGGGGAGGATGTGGGTTTTTCTTCTTTCTCCCCCCACAGTACTCCTGGGCGTGTGTTATAGCGAAGAGATGGCTGTTGTAGCTTTTAAATGGATTGCAATTGTTGCCTTGCCCTTTTTTATTTTTTCCAAATTGGGATCGCCTGGTGGTGTCTAGCTTCCTTTGCCCTGGAGTCGGGGAAGGGGCCGACTGCGCCATTTTGTTTAATAGGTGGTTCTGGATTTTCAGAAAATGACACCCGTAACGGTGGGCGCTCTTTTTGAGTGTGGTAAATGTTCATAAAATTGCCAGAACATCGTGGCACTTGCTAGTTTTACCGTTTCTGAGATCACATAGAGGCATATCTTCAAAACACAGGTTAGGTAGGGGCAGACTCCAAGTTACTGCTCTTCTGGGGAAGAGGCAGGATTCCAGTAGGGTGGCAGAGTCCCCTTGGCCGCGGTGGTGCTGTGTGCTGGGGCTTTTCCACCACTGCCACACCCTGGCTTGCTGGAAATGCTTCCGCTGAGCACAAAGCACAGTGAATAATGGTGCGCAGTGCGGTGACTCATGCCCAGGTTTTCCTCCTGCTGCTGTTGTCACTCGGCAGAGGACCTTGTCTTCAGGAGCCAGTTTGAGGATTGTTTGGGAAATTGCTACATAGGCTGGATTCTGAACTTGACAGATGAGCTAGCCCACTACAGATGTCAGAATTATGAGGAAGCACACTCAGCATTTCTGGGAACAGAGCCATTGTTGGATTCAGGGGCCAGGGCAGCCAAATGGTGGTGTGGCTTCCCGCGAGCTGGTCCACCGGGTGTCCCCCTTGGCCTTGCTAGTTTTGCTTGAATGTATGCCTACCCCTGAAGCCTTCATGAGCCTATTTTCCTATTTTCAACCTTAGGTTACTGAAGATTATAGTTATTATTTGTCATGGATTAAATTGTGTCCCCCCAAAATATAGGCCATAAGTCCCAGTATTGTGTGGTTGTCCTCTATTGTGTGATTTGATATAGTTGTTCTATGTGATGTAAATTCTAATCTCTGTGGTTAATGAGTTAGGATTAGTTTCTGTTAAAGAGGATTAGATTATGTTTGTTGTGTTAATGAGGCAGGATTAGGGTGGGGTGCAACACCCTTACTCAGGTCATAGCCCTGATCCATGTTAGGGGGTTTCCCTGGACTGTGGCCTGTATCACCTTTTATCTTACAAGAGATAAAAGGAGAGCCAAGGAGCAGAGAGAAAGGGTCCCTGACTACCACCGAGAAAGAAGAGCCAGGAGCAGCACGAGTCCTTTGGACCTGGGGTCCCTGTGCTGAGAGCCTCCTAGACCTAGGGGAAGATCAATGCCAAGAGACATGGAGGTCTCCAAGGAATGCTGGGCCCACAGATGTTGAAAGGAGACGAGGACTTCCCCCAGAGCTGACAGAGAGAATGCCTTCCCCTGCAGCTGCCACCCTGAGTTTGGACTTCTGGCCTCCTAGACTGTGAGAGAATAAACTTCTGTTTGTTGAAGCCATCCACTTGTGACGTTTCTGTTATAGCAGCACTGGATAACGGAGACACCCTTAAAGCCCCAGTGTTCAGAGATGGAGTGTATTCCTGGGTGTCTCTCCTGCTGAGAGGATGGCAGTGGTGTGTGCTGAGTTATTTCCTCAGGCCTCGGTGACAGCAGGGGGAGGTGGTGGTGTGTTCCGGCGGGTCGGAGCCCTGAGACGTAGCCCTGCTCCACCCAAGGAAGGACCTTGCCCTGCGCCGGCCTGGGGGCACATCCTGGGATGTTGCTGCAGCCCCCTGGGACTGGGATGTACCTAGCACTCAGGTGCTGAGTCAGGTAACAAGTATTAGACAGCGCCCAGTGAGTGGTTTCGCCCAGTTCTTCTTTCCTGATCTTCAGAAGCTTCATCTAACCTCAGGCAACCAGCAAGTGCAAGGAAATAGCTATTTCCCTGTTCTGCATTTTGCAGGTTTTTTGCTAAAGCTTAAATCGTTACAAAAAATTAAATCTGATGGTGTCTGTGGAGCATTTGTTGGAATATACACGTGCAGACCTGCTGCCCCGCCCCCCCGCCGCTATTCTGGCTGGGGCGAGGGGCCGCAGTGACTCGGCGGCTCTGTTTTGGGGGTGATGGTTAGGGTTTCCCCGGTGGCTTGCTCTGCTTGTGGTCTCTGCAGTTTCCTTCTGTCTCATCGTCTGGCAGAGAGACTGGGTTCCTGAGCTCGTGTTACAGTTTGTCCAGTGTGTCTCTTGACTGCTGTCGTCTCATCTGTCTGCCTGGGGCGAAGACTTGGCGGCCATTTGCTTGTGGCCCTGCCGCCGCGGTGAGGTGTCTCGTCAGTGCCCGGGCACAGCGCCCGGTGTGTGTGTGCACCCCATGAGTCAAAGCAGTGAACGCGCACCCTCCTGGTTGTGTTTGCACCTACAGACTGCACCTGGGGACGCCTGCCTGAATACCCCACCGTGTGAGACAGTTATCAAAACACAGAGTTAGAAGAGCGAGCCGAGGAGCGGGACCAGAAGGCCAGCAGCCTCCTCTGCCCGTGGGCTCTCAGCCCCAGGGCAGTGCTTTCGCAGACTGCCATTGCAAACAGCGGGGTTCCCTAACTGCCCCAGAGAGAGGGGTGCTCTCCTGCGTGTGACCCAGTCTGTCCCTGACCCTGTGCCAGTGAGGCCCTGGGACCAGCTGTCGTTAGTGCTGCTGAGAGACCTGCCATAGTCTTGGCCATTTCTTTGGGGTCACGGAGTGTCACTGGGGTGCGAGTGGCGGGTGCGTGGGGGTGTTGGGGTCAGTGCCAGGGAGAGGAGGGCTGTGTCTGGAAATGAGCAGAGTGATTTCCTGCTGACCAGCCCAGTGTCTTAGCTCCTGAAGGAGCTTCTCGGTGCCACGGTCCCAGTGACTTACTGCTTCCCAGCCTGCTGACGTGGCCTGAGTCTGGAGCTGCTGCCACTGCAGGCCAGTGACCAGCCCCCTGGTGCGTGGCCACTCCGTGAACTGGGCACGGGTTGTGTGTGTGTGGCTGTGCAGTGCCTGGGGGGTGTCAAAGTGGGCTGGTGATGCTTGGGGAGAGCCCAGTGCACAGGTAGGGACAGCATGGTCACTGTCCCCACCACCATGGTGCCTCCTGCACCTGCAAGATCTGTGCAGAATGATGTGTGCTCAGGGTGTTCATGGAGCCCGCATCCAAACAGGAGAGCAGGACTGACCAGGTGTGGTCATGTTGTTCTAGGAGCTGTGGACGGCTGTGAGGGCCTGGCTGAGACCAGAGTCCCCTGCCAGCCAGCTGCTGGGACCCTATCTTAGCTAGTGCTGTCATAACAGAAATACCACAAGTGGCTGGATTTAACAGACAGAAATTTATTTTCTCACAGTTTAGGGGGCTAGAAGTCTGAATGCAGGGCGCTGGCTCTAGGGGAAGGCACTCTCTCTCTCTGCCAGCTCCAGGGGAAGGTCCTTGTCTCTGACCTTCTGCTCCTGGGCGATCTCCCTGTGGCTTGGCATCTCTCTTCCCCCGTCTCTGCTTACTCGCCTCTTGTTTAACCTCTTTTATATCTCAGACTGACTCACGGCAGCCCGCACACTCACCTTGCCTCACTAATGTAAGAAAGACAGCCCGTTCCCCAACGGGGTCATGACCATACGAATGGGGTTTTGTTGTTACGTGCCATCGAGTGGGTTTGGACTCACAGCAACCCTTATAGGGCAGAGGAGAACTGCCCGTAGGGTTTCCAAGAAGCAGCTGATGGATTTGAATTGCCGACCTTTTTGGTTAGCAGCTGAGCTCTTAACCACTGCGCCACCAGGACTTTGACCACGGGCATAGAGGTTAGAATTCACAACACACGTTTTAGGGAAAATAATTAATCCGTAACAGACTCCTAGTTACAGGACTGGGGGGATCTCCTGGGCCATCTGCTCTCGGCCCCTCTGTGGAGTTGGAGGTCAGTGGCATTGAGCTGGTCTCTGTTCCCAGGCCATCTGGGAGCTCCTGTCAGAGTCAGGTCAGGGGAGGCGGCGTGGCTGTAGTGTGTGTGCGGGGGGCCGCACCCCTGGTTTGGTTGTGCTGCTCGGGGCTGCCTTCCACATGTGTGAAGACTTTGGTGCCTGCGCCCCTCCGCCCTTCCTTCCCCTGTCCTGGTGCCGTGGGCTTCCGGGCCCTGGTGAGTGAAACACACGGCCCTGTGAGGAACCGCGTCCATAGCTGCCGCTGGTCCCCAGTGCTGTTCTCGGAACTTTGCCAGGGTTCCAGCGGTCCGGCTCCCGTTTCTTGCTCTCTGCTAACCAGCCCTCTTTCCTGGCGCTGTCTGCGTCTTTCAGTCTCTGTGGAAGAAAGAGAAACAGGCGCACAGGTCACGTTGGGTCTTTTGATTACCTGGAAACAATGGATGTGCATTTTTATCTAAAAATTACTTTGCAGATCTTTCCGGATGAAGGAAGGGATTCGTGTTGCGTTAATTATTGGTGTGGTGTTGTGATCAAAGCTGTGAACCAATCTCAGGAGTGCCTGTGGCTGGTGGGGGACACTTGGCCCAGAGGGCCAGGTGTTAGGGCTTTCTGTTCATTTCATTTCAGGAGTGCCTGTGGCTGTTGGGGGACCCTTGGCCCAGAGGGCCAGGTGTTAGGGCTTTCTGTTCATTTCCACCACTGACAGACAGGAGCTCCTGGATTTAATCTGTGCTTTAATTTCTTAGAGAAAAAACTGGTGAATTCCTGGTGTGGCTTGAGGTGTTAGGTACTATATTATATCGTTAGTATTACGGTTTATTTTTTATCTTGAAATATATTTATGTGATTTCTTTCCCCAGTGTGCACATGGGAGCCTAGAAGACCCCAAAAATGTAACGCATCATAAATTAATCCATGCTGCTTCAGAGAGAGTGCTGAACGATACCAAAACCATCTTAGAAGAGAATGTTCAGGATAAAGGTGAGGGTGCTTCACGGCGCAGCCATGTTGGCACGGTGCAGCCGGACACCTGGGAGGGGGTGAACTTGACAGGTGAGGCACCCTTAATGCTAGGTCAGTGTCCCGAGTTGGATTTGAGCAAGAAAACCAGATCGACTGAGAGTGTTTTATTTTTGCTTTATTAAAAAAAAAAGTTTGCATTATAGAATGTTTGTGAAAAGCAACAGAAACCAACACTGAATAGACAGCAGACAGCAGAGAAGCTAAATGCAAACTTTATTTTTAATTCTGTTGCAGAGCAAATGCAGGGGCTCCGGAGCTGCTGTAGGTTTTGTTTGTGGTGGCAGTTAGGGTTGTGGTGGTTCCAGGCATCTTCGTAGGATGTCCTGACACACCCACTCCGTTGCTGTAGTTGTATGTCTGCAGGCACGTGGGGGAAACCTCACTGTTCTGTATCTCGTTCCAGTGATGACTTTAATTCTGGGATCCCTTTAAATAATCTGCCCTGAACTGCGAGAAGTGTCAGTAGACGTCCGTCCCTTGGATGTGATCATCCAGCTCAGAACTGGCGGTGGGCAGTCAGCACCAGTCCTGGGGTGGTTCCGTGGGGAGCTCTTGCCTTCCGTGCGGGCGACCTGGCCTTGATGCCCCGCCAGCGCACCTTCTCCTGTCAGTGGAGGCTGGTGTGCTGCTGTGATGCTGAACAGCTTTCCGGAGAGCTTCCAGACTGAGCCAGACTGGGAAGAAAGGCCTGGTGATCTGCTTCTGAAGATCTGCCAGTGAAAACCCTATGGAGCACGATGGTCTAATCCACAACCAGTCGTGGGGATGGCGCAGGACCAGCCCGCGTTTCATTCCATGGTGTGGGGGGTCGCCTTAAATCAGGGGCGAACTCGGTGACAGCCAGCAACAACGCTGTGGACTAACCAGACCGCAGGGTTTCTAGCTCTGAGGTTTAAGACCTAAGTGTCCCCCAGTCTGCACAGTTGTCAGGACTGGACACGTGCCAGGGGTGTGAGGTCACGACTGTGAGAGAAGGCGGGGCTCCCTTGGGTCATCTCGCATCCTTGTTGCTGTTTCATGGATGTGAAGCCATAGCCAGCTTGACAGACATAACTGTAATTTTTTTCTAGATGTCTTATTACTGATAAAAAAGCGGGCCCCAGCTCCACTTCCAAAGATGGCTGATGTCTCTGAGGAAGAACAGGTAAGTTTCCAAATTTGGAATTGGAAATCTTTATCGGTAAAAGTCTCCTACTTCTGAGACTTTTACTATTTTACTTTTTAAGGACCATTCTGTTCCCCAGTTGTTCCCAAACCCACCATACATAGTCGTTGAACTGCAGCCTGGCTACAGTCGACATAGCTACAAGGAGTTTGCTGTCATGGCTGAGCCTGTTTAGGTTACACCACTCCTGGGCCCCAGTCATGTTGGCTGGCGAACGGTCACACCAGTGTCACCGTTCCTGGGACCCGGGTATGTGGTTGGTGCACAGTCACACCGGGGTCACCGCTGCTGGGCCCCGGTCCCGTGGCCGTGCACAGTCACACCGGGGTCACCGCTCCTGGGCCCCGGTCCCGTGGCCGTGCACAGTCACACTGGGGTCACCGCTCCTGGGCCCTGGGCCCGTGGCCGTGCACAGTCACACTGGGTCATAGGAGTTTTGCACTGCAGAAAGGAGAGCCAGGGCACTCTCCAGTCTCGCTTTCACGCTTGAGCTGTTGTCAAACCTCCCTGTGGATTTGCCTGTCCCTCTGCTTGGCAAGCACTCGAATCCCTCTGACAGGAAGTTGTCCTGAAGGCATCAGAGCAGGAGCATGAGTGCAGCGGGGAGGGGAGGCCTGGCCCACGCTCGCCGAGTTCCCGGAGCAGCAGCGCTCCCTGTCTTCAGTTCCCAAGGCCAGTGGGTGTCCATTGGAGTTTGCGTAGTGGATCGACTAATAATCTGCATCTTTCCTTTAATTTAGGTTCCTTAGTGGTGCAGTGGTTAAGCGCTCAGCTGCTAACGGAAAGCTCGGTGACTTGAACCCCCCAGCCGCTCTGTGGGAGAAAGATGTGGCAGTCTGCTTCTGTAAAGAGTTACAGCCTTGGAGACCCTATGGGGCCGTTCTGTTCTGTAACATGGGGTCCCTGTGAGTCAGAATCGACTCGACAGCAACCAATTTGGTTTGGGTTAGGATAGCCGGGTGGTCTGTTGTTTGTTTAGTGACTGCCCCAATGCTCATTCTTTGGTAAGCTGAGTCTGTGAAGCCCACGCGCGCAATGTGAGATGTGGTGTGTGTGCAGGCGGGTGGTCTCTGAGCCAGACCTCATGTCTGTGAAGCCCGTGTGCACGGGGTAAGGCACGCGTGTGCAGGCGGGTGGTCTCTCTCTGACCCAGACCTCATGTCTGTGAAGCCCCTGTGCACGGGGTAAGGCACACGCGTGCAGGCGGGTGGTCTCTCTGACTCAGACCCCATACACGTGCCCAGGTACAGAGAAGTGCTGTGTGAAAGGGCATGCACGTTAACAACAGCTCCTGCTTTACTTGACTGGAGAGGCCGGTTTCTTACCCGTGCTTTGAAGCACTGGGGAGAGTGTTCACCCAGGAGAAAGGAGGCCAAACTCTGGGGGCTGGGCCCTGGGGCTCATCGTGGTGAGCTATTTTAGATTCTCATCTGGGACAAGTGGTGCAGGCGTGCCTGGGGGTGTCCGTTGCCTTATCTGCAGCCACACCTAGCCATGGTGCTGGCACACCCACCCCAATCTCCAGAAGCAAGAGCTGGACGCTGCCCCCAGCCCTGAGTCAGGTGGTTTCTGAGAAGTGCTGGGGGCAGGGGTGGGGTTAGGCAATTCTCAAATTACAGCGTGACCATTGGTATTCAGACTTAAAGGTCTCCTAACTAATGTAAACGCTAGGGACCTGACGCTTCCTAGATTTAAAAGAAAACCAAACCAAACCCTTCGCTGTTGAGTTGATTCCAACTCATAGCGAGCCTAAAGGGCAGAGTGGAACTGTCCCCTAGGGTTTCCAAGGAGCGCCTGGTGAACTCGAACTGCCGGCCTTTTGGTTAGCAGCCGTAGCTCTTACCCGCTGCGCCACGGGGTGTCTTTGCTTAGTCTTCGTTGCGTTGCGTAGCTGCCTTTTCTCCCGGGGTTAGTCAGCATCTTGTTGTTTTGTTTGTAGCTGAGTCTTCCCTGGACTTCTCACAGAATCCTCCCCAGATTTCCAAATTCTTCTATAGAATTGATAAGCCCCTCGGAAAATGTGGTCACATATATCAGGTCGCCTGTCACTTCCTTTTTCTGGGAGTCATCTCTCCAGGCACCTCTGGCCCCCTGCCCCTTCCGATTTGGTTACCTTCCGGCCTGCTGCACAGCCTGGCTTTTCCCGCCTCTCCTGTGTTGGCACCTTCTAAGTCTGTTCGCTTCCTGTGGGCTCCCGACAAATTGCCACAAATGTATCGGCTTAAAACAATGCTCATTTCTTAGCTCCTGGCTCTGTAGGTCAGAAGTCCAGGTGGGTGCGGCTGCTTTCTCTGCTCAGGGTCTCCAGGGCTTTTCTCTGGAGGAAGGACCCGCCCTCCAGTGCTCTCCCCAGCCTGGCGCATCCCCGTACTTCGTGTCCTTCTGCAGCCACAGCCGTGGTCCCCAGGGATGGCGCCTGCCCTCTGCCTCCGCCTGTCACTGCACGCTCTTCCCAGTGTCAGGCGGGAGGGAGGGCGGCCTGCGTGTCGTGTCCAGCCTTCTGCACGCAAGGGGCCCCCTGCTCGCAAGGGGCCCCCTGCTCACAACGGGGGCACAGCCCCAGCTTCCGACGAGAGACTGGGCTTGCCACGCCACGTAGAGGAGCTGCTTCCTGGCGAGAGCTTTTAGTTATTACTCCGCGTACCTGCCTTTTAGCGCTCTTGTGTTCATGTCTGACTTCCTCATTCCCTTTTCACGTAGAAAAAACAAGAAGAGAAAGCCCCAGACAAAGATGCTATATTCCAAGCGACAGCCAACCTGCCCTCCTACAACATGGACCGGGAAGTGGTGCAGACCAACATGCGAGACGTGAGTGCTCCGCCTGAGGGTGCTGTCCCCGTGCTGACGCGGCCACCACCGCCGGGGCCACGCAGAGGCATTGACGAGTACCTGGGAAGCCGGGTGAAGGGCATACAGGAACTTTGCTGCTTTTGTGACTCTTCTGTAAATCTAAAATTATTTCAAAATTCAAAATTAAAAAAAATTTTTGAAGGTAGGAGTGAAAAGATAGATACTATCAGGAAATTGCTAGCGTTTTGTCGTGAGTTTGGTAGAAATTGTCGTCTGTGTAGAAATCTGAACTCTTGTGTTACTTTGGGCTGGACCATTCCGAGAGGGAAAGCACGCCAGGTGCTCCCGGGGCTGGCCCAGAGCGACGGGCTGCCGGTGCCGGAGAGGACGAGCCCTGGCTGCCTCGGGAGCCCTCCCTCGGGGTCTCAGGAGAGTTCCGCAGAGGCTGGCCGCGGTCACTCCCTGGCTGTGTGTGTCGGGCTCAGGCGTGTCCGACCAGTGTGTTGTCACGCTGCGGGCGGAGTGAGCTTCACTTGGTGGCCTGCGGCTCATGTGGGAGACAGAGGAGAGCTATTTGATCTCCCACTCCATCCATGGAGCTGGGGTCTCATCTGTGAAGGGTGTCTTCTGGTTGAGAAGATGTATTTTTACAGCTGAGCTTGTTCCTGCCTGTTGTCGTCTCAGCAGGCTGAGTAGGCCCGTGGCAGCCATCTGATTCAAGGCGGGTCCGTTTGTCCAGTGAAGCTGGCGGAGAGGTCTCTGCTTCCTCCTCGCGCGGAGGGCCGTGCGTCCCGCTGCTCCGCGATTGTTAGCGAGCTCTCCAATCCCTCATGTTCGTGGTCCTGCCTAGTTTTGTAGGGGTCACAAGACTTTATGTCAGGAAAGGCCACATAAAAACGATCATCAGGCTGCACACACAGCATTCAGCCCTGGGTTTGCTTTCTCTGTGGTGTTTAGCTGAGGCTCCTGGGAGGCCTGGCACTCAGACCGTGTCCACAGGCGCCTGTACTGACAGAGCGTCCGGCTGGCTGGTCCGTGGCCCACTCCAGGGAGATGCGTTTGGCTACTCCTCCCTGCTGTTCTCCTCTTCCTCAGTGGGTCCCGACTTCATGGAACAAAAGACAACGTAATGCCTTAGAGTTCTGGGACAGGAGGGTGGTGTAGGAAACAGGCCTGCACAGAGTCTGTTGGGCATCTAGGGAAATGACCTCCTATTTGTTTTTCTTTCACTGCAGTTCCAGACAGAACTCCGGAAAATTTTGGTATCCCTCATCGAGGTGGCACAGAAATTGCTTGCACTGAACCCTGATGCCGTTGAATTATTTAAGAAGGCGAACGGTACGTGCGTACCCCAGACCGATGGCCGGGCTCTGTGTTCAGGTCCCACTGGTCCTCCCCCTGAGACCGTGTGAGTGCCTACAGTCCTCACCATGGGAGCTGGGCAGTGAAGAACCCTTTCTTTTCTACATTTGGGTGATGTTGGATCATACGTCATCTGCGTGAGTGAGAGCGGATGGCTGCATCTCTGCTTTGGGAACTGCCAGGAGCAGGAGGGGCTGGCCCAGGGAGCTCGGAGCACCCGCAGAGCTGGCACGGCACTGCCTGGTCCCCATGAGCCGTTTCTTATCTCTTGCCTGCAGCCATGCTGGACGAGGACGAGGAGGAGCGAGTGGATGAAACCGCCCTGCGGCAGCTGACAGAGATGGGCTTTCCAGAGAGCAGAGCCGTGAAGGCCCTGCGGCTGAACCAGTACGTGCTGGCTCCCTGCCAGCCCCAGGGGTTGCGGCTGCTCTCTGGGCTCCCGGTGGGGCCACCCCAGCTCTGACTGAATCAGTGCTAGGAGGAGTGGGGTTTGGGGGGGCCCTTCAGTGCCTGTCACAGGTTAGCTTGCCTTGGCGTGTCTGGGTTTCAGAGAGCTTCGACATCACCGACCAGGGTGTGATGCTCTGACACAGGCCTAAGTTTCCACGCGCTGTCATTTTACAAGAACCCAAACTTAAACCCGTGCACGGCAGGGGCGTCCATCCCCGGGACTGCTCTTCTCTCCCCGTGTCAAGACGCGCGTCGTGTTGTCTCTGTCTTCTTCAGTAAGACGTGTGTAGGCCCCCGCCTCTCCGTCGGTGCTGAGATCTGCAGTAGCCCATAGACACACCCGTCCCTGGGGTAGGCCCCTGTTGGCTTTGCCCCAAGCTGGTTGTGAGTCCCTCTGCTGAGCCAGTGAGCAGGTTTCTCTGTTCCGGCCTGGGTCTGGGGGTGGTTTGATTCAAGGCCAGTGCTGCAGATGCACCTGTATCTAATCCTTAAATAATTAGCCCTGTCACCACCTAATGCTGGAAAGGCTGTTAAAGCAGAAGAGTCTTTGTGGGGAATGTACGGGAAAGCGCAGGGCACTCCATACTAGTCTGGGGTGTTGGAAAGAGTCTGTCGTTCCTTTGCAGCATGTCCGTGACGCAGGCCATGGAGTGGCTTATTGAGCACGCGGAAGACCCCACCATAGACACACCTCTTCCGGGACAGGCCTCACCAGGCACCTCAGCGGCCGCCTCTGCCGAAGCGCCCGCTGAGACGAGTGAGGGAGACGAGGAGGCCAGAGATGAGCTAACCGAGGTCTTCAAGAAGATTCGAAGGAAAAGGGAATTCCGGGCGGATGGGCGGGTATGTGTTTTCGGACTTTTAGCATGGAATTGCTGTTTCTTCCCCTGACGCTGTGCTGTGTGGGTGAAGTCCAAGCCGCACGGCTGACCGTAGGCCTGAGTCGGCCGCCTTCCTGGCCAAAGCTGGGTGGGTGAGGGCTCACGGACAGGCCTAGAGGCCTCCTGGGCTTCCCGTGAACCCAGGTGAATGTATTTCCCTCTTAGGTGGTCCATGGGCACATTTGTCATCTCTGGCATCCCGTGAGCTGTGGCCCTCCGAGGCGGGGTGGGGGCGGAGACTAGAGCATCCCTTGCTGCCTCAGTCGCCCTGGATGGGGAGAGAGGAAGCTGCCCGGGCATTGACCCCTTTCACCGAGGCATCTGCAGGGTCTCAGGACCTGAGGTCTGGTTTCCTCTGTGGTGTGGCTGGCCAGCCTACGTTAGCATGCATTTCCATGACCCCTTGTCACTGACGCCTCAGTGCTGATGTTTTTACATTTCCCCGTTCTTTCTTTGGAGTCCCTGGGTAGTGTAAACAGCTAAGCACTCAGCTACTAACTGAAAGGTTGGAGGTTCAAGTCTACCCAGAGGCACCTCAGAAGAAAGGCAACCTACTTTTAAAGAATCAGCCAGTGAAAACGGTGGAGCGCAGTTCTCTGGCACACGGGGTCCCAGCATCGACTTGACAGTGACCGTTTTTGGTTCTTTCCGTACCGACTTGTTCTTTTACCAGGGTTTTAGTTCGTTCTTTCGTGTATGAACTCCTTCTAAACGTGCCGATGTTTTTCAGGTTGTAGATCTGTGAGCTCGAGGCTTCAGGGCTCGGCTCGGTCTCCTGATTCTCGCTGTGCTGTGGGTTGTTTTCTCAGGGTTTAGGACGTCCCACCGTGAACTCACTCGGGGGGGCCCACATGGCCTGAGTTGCCCCCGAGATGATGCTGAGCGCGTCTCGGTGGGGCTTCTGGGCCGGCTGCAGAGCTGGCAGAGACAGAGCCTCTGCTGGGGCTGCCTGTTCCGCTCCGTCCCTGTTCAGACCCTTTGCAGGCCCCAGCATTACGGGAGGGTCTCAGTTCCGACCCCCCTCGCGTGGGCCCATGGTTCATCACCTGTGCTCGTGGGGCACCGGGGCCCCGCCCCCAGGACGGCCCCTCTCCGCGCACGCGCTCATGGGCTAGTTTTCTGCCCCTGCTTGGCTGTTGTCACGTGGCTGTCTCCCTGTCCCGGGAGCTCCGCTCTGCACCCGGAAGTGTTCTTATTTTGTACCCCTCCCGCCGAGGTTTGGCAGCAAGCCTGTCTCTTTACCTTAGTCTTCAACCTTGCGGGAGCCAAGGCCGGGTCTGGTTTGGGGCCCGTGATAAGGTGGGGCGGCTCCCCGGGGTGGGCCTGTCGTTCTCGGCCCGGTCTTCGCTGGTCACACTGGCCCTGCACGTCTCGTTAGGTGCCTGACCGGCGTTTCACGCTTCTGTTGCCGCTTCACCGTCTTCCGTTCCCACCTCTCTCCACGTGGTCGTTTGCCCAAGCTTCCTTTCCCGTTTTGGTTTAGAAACATTGCCCAGACTCCCTTTTTCTGTAACAGTTGTTGTTCAAGAACGTCCGAGTTTGAGGGGCTCATCAGACTGTGGTTTCTGTAGCAGGCATGACGTTGGCAGCAGTCCGACAGGAGCAGAATGTTCGCTCTGTCGCAGGAGAGACTGGTGGGAGAGCCCGGCCTGGACTGAGACCAGGGTGGCCTTTGCAACCCCTGTTCAGCCTGCCCCCTCCCGCCGTGGGCAGAGCCAGAGGCAGCGTGGGAGTGGAAGGGAGGGCAGGGAGCTTCCTCCTGGGGTGGACCTCTGCGAAGGATTGGGGGTCTTTTTCTGGGCTGAGACAGAATGGTTTTCATTGAAACTAATGGAAAAAGCTGTCCTATTCTTGGATGCCACGCTAGCTTCCAGGCTGTCTTACATCTCTCGGATAGCGCATGCTGCACAGCCAGCCCTTCCTCAGTGTTCGCTGCCCGAGGCCCTGGAGTTGGAGGGGCACAGGAGAGGGAACGGGGAGCTGGAGTTAGAGGGGCACAGGAGAGGGAACAGGGGGCTGGAGTTAGAGGGGCTCAGGAGAGGGAACGGGGCCCTGAACAGAATGCTGGCTCTGAACCAGCTGCCGCGTCGTCTGGGTCCAGTTCAGTGTCCCTCTGATGGCCACCCTAGGAAACCTCTGAGACACTGACACTACTGACCACGCTGACACAGTGAAAATGCACTCCGTAGCAGGTGCGGGGTTCATGGGGACACAGCGTCACCTGCGCAGCCCCTGAGAGCTAAGGACCTGGCAGAGCTAGACCAGTTAGCCGTCGCGAGAACGGGAGCGGGCTCCGGGGACCTGAGAATGATCTGACATTCAAGGGATGAAGAGAAGCCTTGGAAAACTGACTAAACCCTTAAATATTTTTGCAAAATTGGCGCTTTTAAAGGTTGTGCTGTAAAAGTCAAGTCTAGTAGGTGAAGGATGTTTATCTTCTCATGGTTTTGTCCTGAATGTGCACCCCATCCCCCAAAACGTCGATCACTGCTCCTTGTTCACTCTGAGAACTAGCACGTGTTTACAATTGGAGTTTAAATTTTATCACATTTGATATTTTAAAAATAATTTTAGTTTTTTTTTTAGGATAAAATCTGAATAAAACCCCCCTTTTTTCACGAATTACTGTGGCCTTTTTGTCTGTTTAAATCGGATTTACGTATGTGATGTTTTCTTTAACACCGCTTATTCTTGGATAACACGGCCTTCTGGAATAAGCTTCTGTGTGGTTGCTGACGACATTTGTATCCAGACACTCGGGACAAGCCCGGGAGGGTGTGAAGCGGCCTGGCCGCCCATGTCGCGGTGGTCAGTGCACCTGTGTGCAGGCCTCCCCCCCCGACCCAGCTCCCTGTGTGGCTGCCTCCTTGAACGTTCCTTCTCACAGCCGCGCGCCTCCTGGCTTCAGAAGCTTGTGCTCAGAGTTTTGAAAGCCCACACATGTTTCAGTAGAGCTGGAAGGAAACGTAATTTTGTGGCAGAAAATCCAGCGGTCTTGTGTTAAAACAGCTTTTACTGAGATGCTGCTGATGCGAAGGGGCTCAGCCCCCCCGCCACGTGCCTGGCCGGGGAGGTTTGCCACCTGGGTCCCCGAGCGTGGCCCTGAATGGTCTGTGCGGTTCTGCTTTAGGCCGTCGTTTCCCTGATGGAGATGGGGTTCGACGAGAAGGAGGTGATGGACGCCCTCCGAGTGAACAACAACCAGCAGAACGCTGCCGTGAGTACGCCGCCCGCTCCGAGGAGGGACGCGTCCCCGTCCCGTCCCGAGGGCCCGTGCGCCTGGCTGCTTTCACCTGCAGTCAGCTCCGCTGCTTGGGAAGCGCCGCGTTAGGGTAGAGGGCTGAAGGAGTCAGCATTTTAAAAAACGTGTGTTTGGCTGAGAAAGTCCTTGGGCTGTCTTCCTAAAACAGCGTACCTCCTGTGTACGTGTCATGTGTGCACACATGTGTGTGTGGCTGGTTTATCTACGTGTTTGTTGGCCCCTGTTCTCTGAGCACACGCTGGCCTCTGAGGGGGTCTGCTGGGCTGGGCTCGGCGGTGGGCTTGTTGCACCACCCGCTCAAAGATGACAGATTCAGTGACTCAGCTGGACCAGTTCTAGCCGCTGGGTCTGTCCCGATGTTTCCATCCTGCCCAGGACCACCCCCCAAGAACAAGTCTGTGGGTGTTCGTGACTGTTCCCAGCTCCCCTTGTGCCATACCGTGCCCACAGTGGGGCTGGAGAAGTCACAGCGCCCTTGAATGGCGCCGCCGGGTCTGCTGAGGAGGCCAGCTCAGACATTCACGGCACCAGAGCTTGGGCCTGGGTGTGTTTTTACATTGCCATCTCTTATGCTAGAGAAGCCCTGGAGACCTGGAGTGTGAACAAGGCTGGGACCAGTGGCAGGCAGTGCGTGATGTTGGCCGTGTGTCCTGGGAGGGAGCTCACGACCACTTTGACGCTCTTGTGTTTGCAGTGTGAGTGGCTGCTGGGAGACCGGAAGCCCTCCCCCGAGGAGCTGGACAAGGGCATCGACCCCAACAGCCCCCTCTTCCAAGCCATCCTGGACAACCCTGTGGTGCAGCTGGGCCTCACGAACCCTAAGACACTGCTAGGTATGTGTGCGTTCTCCGTGTGGCTCAGGGTGGGGTGCACGGCCATCCTGGACAACCCTGCGGTGCAGCTGGGCCTCATGAACCCTAAGATACTGCTGGGTATGTGTGTGTTCTCCATGTGGCTCAGGGCGGGCACATAGCTAGCTGTTCCTGACTACAACAAGCAGAGGTGGAGCATGTGCTGGAGACACTGTGTGGGACGCTTCCTGCCATGCGGCTCGGCGTAGTCCAGTGTCACACCTACCGAGGTCACTGTGGGCCCTTCTTAAGTGACGGCTCAGCGCACACTTGAGAAGTAACAGCTGCAGTGGGTGACTCAGGCCCGAGGGATACAGACAGTACCACAGGCTCACTGTCTGAGGGGACGTGGGGTCTGGCTTTTTGCCTTCTCTGGCATCTGGTTATTTTTAATGTGAAGCGTGTATACAGAACTGTTTAGCGGTAACTCTCCATCCCCCCCCCCAGGCTCTGGTTGTTGTTAGGTGCCATGGAGTCAATTTTGACTCATAGTGACCCCACCTGACGGAGTGGAACTGCTCCATAGAGTTTTCTAGGCTGTGATTTTTACGGGAACAGATCGCCAGGTCTTTTCTCCAGCAGAGCTGCCGCCTGGGTTTGAACTGCCCACCTTTAGGTTAGCAGCCGAGCTCGTAACTGTTGTGCCACCGGGACTCCTCCAGCCCCTGGTGACCACTAATAAACCCGTCTCTGTGTTTGCCTGTTGTAGATGGCTCACATAAGAGAGTCCGTACCGGATTCGTCCTTAGCCTTTTTGGCTCGGCGTAACGTTTTCTCGGCTCGTCGGTGTAGGACGCGTCAGGCCTTCATCTCTCGTTATGGCTGAGTGGTATTCCGCTGTGTGGATCTACCCCCTTTGTCTGTCCACTCCCCTGTTGGTGGACGTTTCGGTGGTCTCCTCTTCCGGCTGTGGCGACCGGCGCTGCAGTGACTGTTGGTGTACAGCTTTCTGTTTGCGTTCCTGCCTTCGTTTCTAGGTGTACACCTGGGAGTGGAATTGCTGAGTCATGCAGTAGTTCTGGGTTCAACTTTGTGAGGAACCGCCAAACGTTTCCACAGCGGACGAGGGTTCCGGTTTCTCCACAGTCTCACCAGCACCTGTGGTTTTGATCGCGGTCACTCTGATGGGGCAAGGTGGTGGTCTGGTTTTAGATGGCTGCGGTGCAGCAAGTCGCTTAATGTGGCCCTTTCAGCCGCGCATGGTCTCGTGACTCCCACACACTGATTGGGTGGGGCTATGCAAATAAGGTGTTTGTGGCCTACCAAGGGGAGCAGACAGCCTGTTGATCATGTAAATAAGGTACATGGTACCCTTGTGGGGGTGGGACCATGCAAATAAGGTGCATGGAACCCTAATGAGGGGATTGGTCAGTTTAACGAAGGGCTACAGTGAGTGTGCTGACCAGTGGAGTGAGAGCTGAGCACCTTTGGGCAGGAGGCTTGCTACAGAGTGGGGTGCCTCTGGGCACTCGACAGAGGTAGGCTTGCTGACCCATGGGAGCAAGGGACAGCTGAGCCTCCTTTGGGCAGGAAGCTTACTGGCAGAGTAGGTGCATCCTGGCACTTATTTGTGAACCTAAAGAGCTTTGTAACACTTGCCTGAGTAGGGCAGAGGCCAAGGGGCCTGAGGGCCAGAGAGGCGTGCCTGCGGGCACAGCTGAGAAGCGGCTGTGCTGATGGAAGAACTGTATCCCGAGTCGTTCCTGATCCTGAATTGTAACCTGTTACTTCCCTCGTAAACCCCATGACTGTGAGTATGGTCTGTGAGTTCTGCATGGCTGGCACAATGAATTATGGAACCCCGCCAGGAGGTAGAGTGCCGTGGGAAGGATGGCTGGTGTAGAATTGGTAAAGAAGGTGGGAGAGTGGAGATACGTCTGACCTCTGCCTCATGGGAATCAGCCTTGGGCTGATGTTGATGGTGACTCTTCCCCCTCTGACGTTAGAGGAGGTCAGACGCCATGACACCGTTCTTACAGTGACTTCTTTGAGATCTAGAAGTTAAGACGTGCGGGCGAGAGTCGTTCCCCAGATGAACGGCCACCCGGGTGGTTTCCCGCTGAAGCCGTGTCCATCTTCTGGCTCAGTCGTTCCACCCTGTGGATGTTTGCCCGAGGGGATGGGCTCGGGGCCCAGCCCCGCGCGGGGCGTCCTGTCTCGCCTCTTCCCTTACGTTTCGTTCTCACAGACACCGAGTTGTGTTTTAGCTTCTCTTTCTGGCTTTTTTTTTTTTTTGGAACATTTTATTGTGCTTTAGGTGAAAGTTACAGAGCAAGTTAGTTTCCCTTTCAATAATTTATACACAGATTGTTTTATGACATTGGTTGCAATCCCCGCAACGTGTCAGCATTCTTCCCCCTTTCCATCCCAGGTTCCCCGTTTCCGTTCGTCCAGATTCCGTCCCTTCTTGCCTTCTTATCTTTGCTTTTGGGCAAGTGTTGCCCATTTGGTCTTGTGTACTTGATTGGTTTAAGGAGCATGTTCCTCACAGGTGTTGCTGTTTGTGTTCCAACCTGTCCAATATTTGGCTGAAAGGTAAACTTCGGGAGTGGCTTCAGTTCTGAGTTAGCAGGGTGGCTGGGGACCATAGTCTTGGGGGTTCCACCAGTCTCTGTCAGACCAGTAAGTCTGGTCTTTTTTGTGAGCTTGAATTTTGTTCTGCGTTTTTCTCCTGCTCTGTCTGGGACCTTCCATTGTGATCCCCGTCAGAGTGCTCAGTGGTGGTAGTCTCTCTGGCTTTCTAAGCTGGTTTCAGAGGGTTTTAATCAGAACAACTCCAGGGGGCTGTTAGGGGCTGGGTGTTGTCACGTGTGTGCCGAGGCTCGCCCAGGCCTCTTCGACCCTGAATAGTTGTGAGTTTCTGTGCCATCCTCGAGGCCTGTGAACATGGGGCCACTTTTCTGACATGGTTCAATGTCTGCCCACGCGACAAGGCCCACGATCCGACCACATCCCCTGTGTGAGGTGGCCGTCCGCCTGCACGCGCCCTCCGTGTTGCTGTGTGTGTGGACTGCCTGGCTTCTTGGCCAAAAGGCATCTCTGCTTTCTGGGGAAGTAGTTTTGTAGAACTGTTTAGAAAATCAAAGTTTTCATTTTGAACAAGTGCTTAATTAAACTTTTAACGTGCTGGTGTTTTAACCGTCTCCCTACGGTGAGCATTTAGGTTTTTCCAGTCCGCCGTGACTAAGTCCTGCAGCCCTGCCTTTGCTCCTGGTGGTTCTGCATCTGGTGACTTTCAGGGGTGGGACTAGAGGTGCAGTAGCTGGCAGCGGCCGTGGCTGTTTGTAGGGCTCCTGATCGCTGTTGCCAGGGTGCTTCGGTCAGCCAGTTTACACCTGCCTCACCAGCTGGGCGAGTCTCAGGGTAAGGGCTGCCGCGTACGAGTGGTTTCCATGTGAGCCGTGCGCTCACGGAGCCGTAGGAAAGGCGGTCCGTCTGCATCTACACTCACGGAGCCGTAGGGAAGGCGGGTGTGTGTGTCTGTGTGTGTCTGTGTGTCTGTGTGTCTGTGTGTGTGTGTGTGTGTGTCTGTGTGTCTGTGTGTGTGTGTGTCTGTGTGTCTGTGTGTGTGTCTGTGTGTGTCTGTGTCTGTGTGTGTCTGTGTGTGTCTGTGTGTGTCTGTGTGTGTGTGTGTGTGTGGCCGAGTTTGCAGAGTGGCTGGCGCTCAGCCTGTCTTGCTCTGTGCCCACAGCTTTTGAAGACATGCTCGAGAACCCGCTCAACAGCACGCAGTGGATGAACGACCCCGAAACAGGGCCGGTCATGCTGCAGATCTCCAGGATCTTCCAGACCCTGAACCGCACGTAGCGCCACCTCACTGCTCCCCGCTGCAGCGGCCGCCAGAGGAGGCTCAGCCGGCCGGGAGGTCCCGGTGGGCTCACTGGTAACAGAAGAGCTGAGGGTCCGAAGAGCCACGGGCTGCGGAGACCCTTCAGCTCCGCTGGGGGTGGTGGGGGAGAAGGGCCGGGTGGAGGGGCTGCTGGAAGCTACCCTCACAGCCTCGCCTGGACTGTTCGCGGTGGCGTTTGCTCCCACTTTTTAATCTTCCTGCTTAAAAACCTTCTGTGATGGTAGTTTGTAAGTCTGCGTTTTTAGCGTCTGACAGTGTTTACAAACAGTGACCGACGTGTCACTGGCAAGTTGAACGATCACCCCTTTCCAAAGAGTGTTCCCTGTGGCCCTTGGAGTGAATGCTGCTTGAATCCTCAATTAGGTGTTTGCATTAGAGTCCACTTGTTTGAAAGAAGGCATGTTTCAACCCAAAGTGTTCACATCAGACATACTAATTGAAGCAGAGTATTTCATAGGCGATTTTTCTTTAATAAACAATTGCCCTTTTTCCAGTTTTCTGTCTTAGTGTTATTTTAATGCACAAAGAAAAAGTTGTATCCTTTTTTTTGGCAGTGAAAATACACACAACAAAACATTCGCCAGTTCAGCAGTTCCTACACGTGTAACTCAGTGACATGGGTCACATTCTTCAAGTTGTGCAGCCGTTATTGCTGCCCTTTTCCAAATTACTACACTACCATGAACGGAAACTCGATACCCCCTCAGTGAAACTCCCGCTCCTTCCTCGCCCTCCCCCGTAACCGCTGACAACCTTTGCTTCTGTACATTCGCTTGTTTGATGTCAACGAGGTCCCACAGTGGTTGGCCTTTCACAGCTGACGTAGTTCGCTCAGCACGTTTTCAGGTTCGTCCACGTTGTGCCGTGCGTCAGGACTGGATTCCTCTGCTTGGCTGCTGGTGTTCCAGGGCGTGTACCTGCCACATCATGCTTATTCGTTCATCTGTTGATGGACCTTTGGAGTGTTTTCCCTTTTGGCTGTTGTGAGTAATGCTGCTGTGAACATTGATATACAAGTATCCGTTTAAGTCCCTGCTTTCAGGTCTTTGGCTGTATATCCCTCAGGTTAGGATGGCTGGGTCATATGGTAATTCTCTGTTCAACGTTTCGAGGATAATGCTGCTGTGAACATTGATATACAAGTATCCGTTTAAGTCCCTGCTTTCAGGTCTTTGGCTGTATATCCCTCAGGTTCGGATGGCTGGGTCATATGGTAATTCTCTGTTCAACGTTTCGAGGATAATGCTGCTGTGAACATTGATATACAAGTGTCCGTTTAAGTCCCTGCTTTCAGGTCTTTGGCTGTATATCCCTCAGGTTCGGATGGCTGGGTCGTATGGTAATTCTCTGTTCAACGTTTCGAGCAACCACCAAACTCTTTCCACAGTGGCTGCACCATTTTACATTCCCACCAGCAGTGGATGAGGGTTCTGGTTTCTCCACAGACTTGCCAACACCTGTTGTTTTCCTTTTTTTTTTTTTTTGGCGGGGGGGTGGTGGATCACTGCCATCCTGACGGGGTTAGGTGGTGTCTCACTGTGGTTTTGATTTGCGTCTCCCTTATGGCTGATGCCGTTGAGCGTCTTCTTGTGTGCTGGTTGACTATTTAAATATCCTCCTTGGTGCAATAGTTGCTCAAATCCTGTCCCCATTTTTTTTGTTTTTTGTTGTTGTCGTAGAGGTATTTTAATGTATTTTGGATGTTAGATCCTCATCAGATATGTGGTTCTTAAAAATTTTCTCCCAATCTGTAGGTTGTCTCTTCACTTTTTTGATAAAGTCCTTTGATGAACAGAAGTATTTAATTTTTAGGTCCCATTTATCGATTTTGTCTTTCCCTGCTTATGCGTTTGTTGTCATATCTGATGGCCTGTTGTTAAAAACAAGGCCCCTCAGCCTTGCCCCTGCGTTTTCCTCTAGGAGTTTTATGGCTTTGGTTTTCACATTTAGGTTCTTGATTCATTTTGTATTTTGTGTATGGTGTGAGGTATGGATCCTGATTCGTTCTTCTGCATGTAGAAATCTAACTTTCCCGGTGCCATGTATTGAAGAGACTCTTCCTTCCCCATTGAATGGACTTAACCACCATCATCAAAAGTCAGTTGACCATAAATGTATGGGTTTATTTCTGGACTCTCAATTCTGTTCTATTGGTCTGTGTTTCTAATATTATACCCGTACCAGGCTGTTTTAATTGCTGTGGCTTTATAGTATATTCTGAAGTCAGGAAGTTTGACTCTTTCTACTTTATTATTCTTCTTTTTCAAGATTGCTTTAGCTGTTCAGGGTCCCTTGCCATTCCATATAAATTTGAGGATTGGCTTTTCCATTTCTGCATAAAAGGTTGGAATTTTGATGGAGATTGTATTTAATTTGTTTTGGGTAGTGTTGACATCTCAAGCATATTAAGCCTTTCAGTCCATGAATGTGGAATGTTCTTTCATTTATTTAGGTCTGTGATTTTTTCTAGTAACATTTTATAGGTTTCCATGTACACGTCTTTCACCTTCTTCGTTAATTTTATTCCTAAGTGCTTTATTCTTTTAGATGCTATCTTAGGCTGGGTTCTCTAGAGAAGCAAAACCAGTAAAGCATATATATAGAGAGATTTATTTCAAGGAAGTGACTCATGTGGTTGTAGAGGCTGGAAAGTCCCAAGTCCATGGGTCAGGCTGGAGGCTTCTCCAGACTCACGTAGCTGCAGGGGCTGGCGAACCCGAGATCAGCAGGTCAGACAGCAGGCCTCTGGCCAAGATCGACAAGCAAGGCGACAGGTAAGCTGCTAGCTCAAGTCCCAGGAACTGGAGGTCAGGCAAACGGGAGCCAGCTGCAGGATCCAGAGCGAGCAAAAGCCCACGAGCCTTGCCAGAAAGTCCACCTGTATTGGATGCAGGTCACACCCGCAAGGAAACTCCCTTTCAACACATTGGCTCCTCCAGCAGATCCCATCATGGAGGTGATCACATTATATCAGATCTCGTTATGGAGGTGATTACGTCATTACACAACTGCCAAACCACCGAGAATCATGGCCCAGTCAAGTTGACACACAGCTTTAACCATCACTGATGCTGTTGTAAATGGTAATGTTTTTAAAATTTCCTTTCCGCTTGCTCATGGCTGTGTAGAAACCTGACTGACTTTTGTTGACCTTGTGCCTTGCCTGCTTGCTGAATTCACTGATTAGTTCTAATAGCTTTCTTACTGAACCTTTAGGGTTTTCTAGGTATAGGATCATATTAGCTGTGATAAGGGGTAGCTTTACTTCCTGCTTCACGATGTGGATACGTTTCTTTTTTCCTAGCCTAATTGCTCTGGCTAGGACTTCCAGAACAATGTTGAGTACCAGTGGTGAGAGCGGGCGTCCCTGTCTTGTTCCTGATCTTAATGAGAAAGCTCTCAGCCTTTCTCCACTGAGTATGAGGGAGTGGTGGGTTTTTATCGTTGTTGTCATTAGATGCCGTTGAGTCGGTTCCGACTCGTAGTGACCGTACGTACAACAATAAAATACTGCCCGGTTCTGCGCCTTCCTCACAGTCACTGCCATGTTTGAGCCCATCGTTGCAGCCCCTGTGTCAGTCCATCTTGTTGAGGGTCTTCCTCTTTTTTGCTGACCCTCTACTTCACCAAACATGATGTCCTTCTCCAGGGACTGGTCCCTCCTGATAACATGTCCAAGTATGTGAGACAAAGCCTTGCCATCCTTGCTTCCCAGGAGCACTCTGGCTGCACTTCCAAGACAGAGTTGTTCATTCTTCTGGTGGTCTGTGGTATATTCAATATTCTTCGCCAACACCGTAATTCAGAGGTGTCAATTCTTCTTCAGTCTTCCTTATTCACCGTCCAGCTTTCGCATGCATGCGAGGCTATTGAAGATACCGTGGCTTGGGTCAGGCGCACCTTAGTCCTCAAAATGACATCTTTGCTTTTTAACACTTTAAAGGGGTCTCTTGCAGCAGATTTTCCCAGTGCAGTACATCGTTTGATTTCTTGACTGCTGTTTCCCTGGGTGTTGATTGTGGATCCAAGTAAAATGAAATCCTTGACAACTTCAGTCTTTTCTCCATTTATCATGATGTTGCTTCCTTTTACATGTTTGCATTCTTGATCAAGTTAGCAAACCAACGTTTGGGGTGGTTGCTGTGGCCACTTCGGGATTTGTTACCTTGCAGACACATTGTGTTGGCAAAATGCCATGTCTGAATTGGATTTAAGGGACTGTAAAGTCACTGGAGTCAAGCATGGTTTCTACATCAAAGGTGGTCAAGTCCGACCAGAAGCAGCTGCTGGTTGGTGTCATCCTGCCCCTGGCTCCCTCCCTCCCAACATTATCTGTGTTTTCAAATGAGAAAATGGGTTTCCTTTTTTTTTGGACTCTGCTCGTTATTGCTTAAGCAGTTATCAGACACATGTTTTTAAATTTCTCTGAAGACAGCCTGCACCTGCTTCGCCGTCACCCTCGTTGGCTCGGCCATTGATACCTGAATAGTGGATGCTGGGTGAGGTAGCCTCTGCTACAGGGAGCTGTTGGCATGACCCCTTAGCTGAGTTCCGATCCCATTTTAGCTGAGCAAGTAAGTTTTGAGGAAAAAAATGTTTTTGACATGTTTAGGTTTCTTTTAGATTTTAGATTCAGGTTTAAAACTTTGGGACAGAAATATTAAAAATAATTTTTGCAAGCCGTGACTCTCCCACATGCCGATTCTCATGTCATTAAAGATGCTCATAAATAGTCCGGAAGCTTGGACGGCATAGAGCATTTCAGAGGTTCACTGCACACCTTTGCTATCATTTTGTCTGGCTTGTTTCTAGATGGCCAGCCGAGGTCGTTTTCTGCAAATCCAGCTGGGCAGGTCCAGGCCTCAGGCCTTTAGTTTGCCTGTCTTCTTGCACCTGCTGGGTGGTACTCTTCCTCCAGTGGCTGCGGGCGCGCCTGGAGCCTGCGGCCCTCACCCTCCCGCGTGCACCTTAAACCTTCGTCCTGGCGCGAGGTGGTGTGTGGGGAGGTCACTTCCTCACGGGAGTCAGGCTCCAGGGCAGGCGGCTCCTGCCCTGGGTCGTGACTGAAGGAGCCCCCGCAGTAGGAGAAGCACCTTGTTGCAGTCCCTGGCTGACCTCTCACGGGGGGCACCCCTCACAGCAGCCTGAGCCACTGGCCGATCGGGAAACTCCGCACCCGTGAGCCGCCTGGAGCCTGAGCACAGTGCTCCGCCTTAGCTTTGCCGTGTTCCCCGTGTGGCCTGTTTCAGGTCGGCAGGGATGGGAATGACAGCCCGGCGTTTGGTGTGGTCTTCCTGGGGGCCGGCGGCTGGCCTGGGCTCCTGCTGCGGAGAGACCCCTCTTGGGGTCCTGTGCTCTGGCCTCAGGCGGGTGTGACATGCAGGAGTCCTGTCTCTGCAGCAGCCCCTCTCGTGATCGGGGCTGGACGTGGGTTCAAGCTTCCTGCTTGTCCCGGGAAGCCGCGTGGTGGGTGGCCC